CCCGTCTTGCGGCCGGCACTGGGCTGATGAACAAGCAGAAATTTTCCATTATTTCACAATAACGCTCAGAGCAGCCACAGATGGTCTGAAAGAGCTTTTTTTTTTGGGCCCCTGCAGGTCGATGACGCTCCGGGAGGGCTGCGATCCCCTCTCCCGCCTCTCATCCGAGCCCCCGGCTCGAGGCTGTTTCTCAGAACTTGGCTCCGCTTTCGAGCTATCATTTTCCACCCACACGAGCCAAATCGATACATGTCAGCTTTTCCCATCATCAGGTTCACGTTACCATATCAATAGTTTGGGGGAATGATTTTATCTGCCTTCGAGGGAGGTGACACACGCTCTCTGCGCAGGGTTCTCCGCGCGGATGTGGGGTGTTCCCAGCCAAGGGGCTTCCACCCCCGCAGCCCCGCGGTGCCCCCCAGGATCACCGTGCCGCTGCCGGACCCCATGCCAGGGCACAGGGAGTGGGACCGCAGATGCCTTCCCTGGAGCCATGGTGCATCCTGCTCCGGCATCCCGCTCCGGCAGCTCCGCTCAAGGCACCCAGGGACACCGGCCGTGGGACAGACGGACACACACACTGTACTGTGCTGCCCTGATACACCCCAGCTCCTACACCTTCCTCCCAATGCCTGAGATGGGAAACCTCCAGGTTCCCATCTGGCTCTGAGCCAGCCGTTCGATTTCGCTGGAAATTCAATGATTGGGAATCACCAGCATCTTTTTTTTTCCAGGAAAATCAATTTTTTCAGGCTAATAAAAGCAATGAAAGGGGAGTGCTGCAGCCCAGCCCTGCCGTTGCAGTGCTACGTATATATTTGAACTTAAATGTTTCTACATTTTCTAAATTAATTTAATAATTTACAACTATTTACAAGCCTCTAAGGTGAGGGCTGGGGCTCCCCTGGTCGGAGTCTGCCGGAGCCGGGGCAGCAGCACCGTGGGGCTGCCCGACAGCGCGGGGGGTCGGCGTGAGCCGGGCCATGAGGTGCCTCTGGCACCAAGACACTTTGCCTCTGCCCGCAGCAGTGCTTGGACCGAGACATGAATTTGGGGAAGAAATGAGCCATTTTTGGCAAGTCAACTTGTTTTCCCCCACAGAATTCCCACTAACAGCACGGTTCAGCCGTGGTGGGAAATAACCGCAGGTTCGTCTCTGCTGGAGGATGAGCTGGTCTGAGTCCCTGAGCTACTGCGGGGTTTCTGATGTCCTCTGGGATGGTGTGGGACACCATGGGGTGGTGTGGGACACCATGGAATGGTGTGGAATGGCATAGGACACGGCACCGCACAGGGCCGGAAGGCGCCGTGCCAAGCCGGGCGCTGCAGGAGCCGGGCGCTGCAGGATGGGATACGTGCTACAGAGCTGAGCAAGTCCTAGTTAAAACCCCAACACCCACACGCCAGAAAACCCCCTCAGCTGCCTCTTCCTTTACATGCAAGAGCATTTTTTTGGTTCTTTGCAGATGTTTAACATCTTGATAAAAGATATGAGGTTTTCTTTTCTTCTTTCAAATCTGACTCTGGCTACTCGAGCTCGCCAGAGCTCCTGCCCTTGTGGCCAAACGACGTGAATTTTTTCCTGACACACAGCTCAGCTGTTCCTCTCCGACACCGTTTCCTTCTCTGAAGTTCTGCCATCGCCCATGATGCTCTTTTCCACCAGCACTGGCCGAGCTGCGGCACAGGGCACCATGGTCTCAGCATGGCCCCAGGGCCACCACCGGGGAGAAGGGCCCACATGGGAGGAGGGTCCTCCACGTCAACGGGAAAAACAGCAAGTGGTCCAGGTGCCCTGGGAAGCAGCACCGGGCACCGGGGTGCTCCCACCCATGTCCCGTGACGGTTGTGTCCCCAGGGCAGGTGGGTGCTGAGCCGGCTGCAGGGCCCCGCACGGGCTGCAGAGGTGCAGGTTCAAGCACAAGAGCAAATATCTGCTCTCGTGTCACGTTGGCTCCTGGGTTTCTAACCCAAGGGTGACGCTGATCCCTGGGCTGCAGCCACAGCACCTGGGCATGGACCCACCTGGGCACGGACCCACCTGGGCACGGACCCACCTGGGCACGGACACATCTGGGCATGGACCCGCCTGGGCATGGACACACCTGGGTGGTAGGGCTGGGCTGGCGCACGGCACGGAGACACCTCCACGGTCAACCAGATACTTGCTGGGGTTGTGTCATCCCCGCAAGAAGACACTGATGTCCAGAGAAGGAGTCCAGCAGGTGTCTGGCCACGTGCATCCCAGATCCGATCCTTCCACATCACTGTTTTTCTTTCCATCGTGGAGCCAAGGAAAGCTTCAGGAGACACTTCTCTGCACATAAGATCATGATTTGGCTTCACTCAAGCCTTGCAATGCGCTTGGTTAAGTCGTGCACACATTCATGGTTCTCCTCATGCAGCACGTTACAAACACACTCAATATAGTAAATAGATCCTCAAACATCAAAGAGAAATTCTCAGCTCGTCATCCCAATATCTCTTCATCTATCAATCAGGTGATTAAAATCTGCATGGTAGCTGAATAGCAGATAACGTTGGTTGAGGGCGAAAAGTCTTCGCCGTCATTACATAATGCCCTTCTTTGGGGCGAATGGCACTTCCCACCGACTCGCCCGATGAGCACAGGAAGAAACCTATATTTGGTAGTCAATGGAGACGCCGGTCCTTCTTCACGCTATAAAAATGGTGCTGTGCCGAGCAGCGAGGCAGAGAGGCCCCGGCCAGCCAGCCCAGCCGCACGGGACGCGCTCAGACGGCGGCAACAGGATGCTCCCCTTGCTGAAGGCAGCTTTCACTCTCCTCTCCCTGCTGGAGCTCATTTTGTCCAAGCCACTGATGACCATCTCCTCTCCCAAACTAAAGCTGTCAGAGATCACCCACCGCATCCATCAGCTCAACTCAGGAGTGCAGGTAAATGCCGCTACACCTCCTGGCTTTTCTTTGCTTACAGACCAGAGGAGCATTATCGATGATGATGATGATGATGTTCCTCAGTGCTTTGGGCACCCCAGCCCGCTTCAGCCTAGACTTTGGGTGCTCAGCACTTGACTTGGTGGTACAAGAGGCTGCTCGGGTGAAGTTTTCCACCTGACATTTGGCACATTGCAGAAAAAAAATGCTGAGAAACATGACAATGATGTGTCAGGGTGACCAGGGTGGCTCAGTGATGGGGACATGGTGGCCCAGCACTGGGTGAGCTGCTGGGGGGTCCCTGCTCTGTGCCAGTCCGTAGCACCCACTGAGCACCCAGGGACCCTCCTGCCCTTTCCCAAACAACTGCTTGCAAGTGCCGTGCAAATCCGGCTCCTGCCTTCCCTGGGACTTGTTTTGGAACAATTTGCTGAAGGACGGATCTTGGTGGTGGCAGCACGCGGGGTGCACCCGCTCTGTGTCCCATCAGCGAGGGCTGGGGACATGGTGCCCTGTCCCTGGGGAGGGCACAGCTGGCACCTCCTCGGGCACAGTCTCATAACGATGGCCTCGTAACAACGAGCTCGTAATGACAATCTCATAATGACAGCTCTCTCTTGTGTCGCCTCTCCAGGTCCCCTGCAACGACACCCGAGTGGCACAGGTCGCCTTCATGGACCGAAAGGTAAAAGATGATGGAGAGAGAGATGGAAAATGCGTTTGCAATAAACACAGACAGAGCTGGCGCCCGCCCTGCCCAGCCCACGGAGCAGAGGTGGTTTTGTTAGTCACCAAGAGCTGCTTGAGTGCCAGGGGCCGGGGGCGAGCGCAGCTCGATGCCAACTGCACCCAGGACCTGCCTCCAGCCCCCACCTCTGCCCACCTCGACCCCACCTTTGGGCACAGCCCGAGTCACCGCGCCAGGCTGCCACTGCAGCCGTAAAACGAAAGTGATTTCGGAAGTCACTGTGAAACCTCCCACCGGTGCCAGACACCTGGATAAGTGGCACCAACTTAGATGAGCTGCAGGTCTCTAACAGCGTTTCCTCCCCTGTGTTCCCCAGCTGCCGGAGCAGGAGCTGCTGTGCCAGGCCGCCGCCGCGCTCACCAAAGTCACCAGGTGCAGGAAAGACTACGAGCCGCTCATCATCAACCTGCAGAGCCTGCATGATGAGATGGTAAGCAGGAGCTGCCGC